ATGAAATAATGTATAATTATCAAGTATTCCTAATTCTTGAAAACATTACCATGCAAGAGCCATTTTCATCAAGCTTTCATACTGGGCCAAGACCGAGCCCGTCTTGATTTTTTTTTTTTTTTACCTGGTTCATTGAGCCAGCCGTCAAGGGGGGCACAGTATGGCTTGTCCTGGCTTGCGAGCACCACGAAGACATCTATAAATTATAAATAACATGAACTCACTTGATGTGAATCACGTGGAACCCAGGGCCTAACTATTTAACATAACAAAATTATGTAGTGTGAATGGATATGACTAGTTCCATGACGAATTTAAAAAAAAACAAAATAACAATTTGGTGAGTGAATATACTATAAAAGTAGCTGTATGCATGATAAATACTAAAGTTGGTGGGTGAAGGGAGGGACTTAAGAAGCGTGAGAGATGGTGAGAAGTGGCGTGGGATGGTTGCAGTTGCACAAGAGTGTAACAACTTGTGTTGAAAAGGGATAGAGATTTGGGAAATTCGTGGGGTTGTTAGTTGTGGGTTGTTTTCGTGACAGATTCTCGTACCTCTTTTCTTGGATTCATGAGCTTCCTTTCTGTTGAGACTTCCTCCTTCATTTCCTCCACCCTCCCTTCGCGAAACAACATTCCAAGTTGAAGGAGAACCCCGACACATAATAAATCAAACAATGTCCTTTTTCCCTTTTAAGATTCACATTATGTTGTGGACGCGCAAAACAAATTTATTTTCTCTTCAAACGATTCACACTGCGGAACTCGCAAAAATAATATTTGCTATTTTTTTTGGTCGTTTTTAATAAATTAGGCTTATATTTTCGAAGACACTATCGAGGCACACGTGCATAACGAAACATGATACGCGAAGGATCGGATCAAGATATTCATGCACTTGCTTATTACGAAGTAAATAATCATTAATTAATGTAGTTGGCTTGTATAAAATAAAAATCAAGAGACTTTCGAGAGGAAAAAAAAGAAAGGAAGCGCATAGATGCATTAGCAGCGACGGGCAGGCAACATAGGGTTTCATTTGTCTATAATGTATATTGGCCTGGTCAGTGGTCACGGGAGAGAAAGGGATGGGAAATTTTTTAAATTTTTACTCTTTTTTATGTGGAAAAAATGATTTATTCATGGTGCAAGCTCTAGCGTTGTCTCAATATTAACTTTTGCTTTTTTGATTTCACTTTTCTAATTATTTTTTTATAAGCATAATAAAGAGTAAGCTCTGCTAGAATATCTTCACTAAAATATATAATCTAGTAAAAAAATAAAATTAAAATAAAACTGGAAGAATTATTATATATATGCACGTGTTAGTTTAAAAGCACACAAAAATTAATAAAGAATTCTTACATGGGGCTAATTCAAATAACAAGGGTGTAGTAAAATGTAAGTAGTAGGAATTCTTGCATGAGCTACAGGAGTATTACCTCATTTATACTGTTCAATAAAACTGTACTTGTTCAGTAAAAATTTATGTGTTATTATTTTTGAAATATAATTTCACTTCAATTAAGTATTTTCTCTCTCTAATATTAACAAGGGTTAAAGCAAGTTATATTTATACGTATCTGATACAGTATATTTCATTTGATAGTATATGAATTTCCAAGCTTTAAGGACAAGTTTGAAACAATAGCGTTGGGAGGTTGTGCGCTAGTAGCGTGTGCATTTGATATAATATTCTGTTTTTGTTTTTCTAAACCACCGCCGCGTCAGCATCATTTGGTCATTGGTCATTGAACCAGCGAAAGAGACATAGCTTGATCTAGACAGTTAAAATATTTAATATGGGGGATATACGCAGAATTTATTTGTTTGATGTAGATGTAAAGTTTTTTATTTATTGAATTTAATATGAATAAAAATGTGTTACTTATGAAATAAAAAGAAAAACTAAGTTATGTTAACTCACTGAACATCAAATCATCGCTTATACATTTATAAAACGACGAAGACAAGTATATGCAAAATTTACATCTTATTTTTTATATGCATGTTTAATTTTAAATTAATTATATGCATTTTTAAGTAGATTTATTGAAGATCCTATTCGAGCAGATATCAATTGATTCAAAAAGCGGCAAAAATGTAAATCCAAGAAAGACCAAACGCTCAACATTATACCCAACAATAAAGATTTGGTCTCCGCTGATCTAATTGCTTTTTGCTCTCCCTCTGCATATTGCATAGTTTAATCTAGGATAAAAGGACAAAATTATCTTAAAACTTTTTCTCTAAGAATATCATCCTAAACTTTTTTTTTTAAATGCAATGTCTTACCATCAATGTTAACTAGTAGTTGACCATTAGTTTAACTTTGATTGCCAAAGTGGCATTTTTAAAAATAAAAAAATAGATCCATTGTGTCTAAGACAACAACAAAATTTACAAGCCAGATTGAAGGAACTCACTTCAAAACTAGCCAACTAGGTGGAAAGAAATTGCTTCAAAAAGAAAAGCTAGTAGGCAGAATTGTGAACTCAAATCTAACAAGCAAGCATGTAAATTGTGAACCTAAATCTAAATTCTTTCACAAGAAAAAAAAAAGAAGAAGAGCCCGAATCAAACAAGCAAGAAAGCAAAGTTAGAGCATGGCTAACTCAAACACGAGTTCTTTCCCACTAATTTTGTGACCTGTGTAAGCAAATACAATCTTCAAATCATTAATAGATTCTCACCTAAAATTAAATTCACTCAAAATCTATCGGCATCCTTTACATTTCTCTAATTTGAAGCTAATTAAACTCAATCAATCCTCACCCAAATCATGCTCACGGACATTTCTCCATCACAACCTAGAATCAAAGGTGTCGAGTGACACGCAACCTTCAATCGTCATCTTCATTGACATGATTGCTTTGCCTTTCATCGCCATGCTTTGCACAACATTCTTGGTTCCTTCCTTACCATCTTTGCAAATAAGATCTTGATAGGCTTGGAGAGTAAAAGTGAAAGGAGAGTCAACCATTGTCATTAGGGTAGGAAAAAGAGGTTGAAGAAGAAGAGGATAAGGGTTTGCGAACGGGATATAGGTTTGAAAGAGAAGGAGGAGGAGGAAGAAGAATAAGTCAAAAGAGGAAGGCGAATAGGATTGAGGTTAGGAGAGAAGTGGAGGGGCAAAGGTGAGGATTGAAGAGTGCCAACCAAATCTAATGGAAACCTCAACCAGCAAGGGGAACATTGAAGGGGTGTTGAAGGTGGAGAGAAGAGCACTATTGGCCACCATGAAAGGGATATGAGGCTTGATAGATTTGAAGAAGGAGAGGCAATCCCCTAGGTTTAGTTCTTGGTAGATTGAAGGGGTTTGAAGAAGATGAATAAATGATTGACAACCTTCTGGATGATTGATTTGAAGTGGAGAGAAAACCATCATTCTTAGGTTTGATTCTGGACAATTGAAGAAGATGAAGAGCTTGGACGATTGAAGAAGACAAAGGCTACTTGTACTTGCTTTTTTTTTTTTTTTTGAAATGCCATATAGCTCCCATGCGATAAGTCAAGTCAATTAATAGTTAACCATAATAGCAGAATAACATTGCATTATTTTTAAAACTTTCGGGGTGATATCGCACTTAAAAAAAGTTTAAATATCAAGTGCTTTAAAAAAAAAGTTTCAAAATATTTTTACCTTTTTTTCCCTTTAATATATGAAATTCTTTTCCACTTAAAAAAAGAAAATAAAATAAAAGAAAGATTTGGTCTCCACTCTTCATCCAGTAAGGCCTAAGTGCCAAGGCCTGGCGTTATACGAATTACAGTAACAATAATTAAAACCAAGTTCTTATATTATACCAAAAAAAAAATTTCTTTTAACATGGCAAATAAAAAGTCCTTATATTTTTATTCTCTACAATTTAGATCTTGTAATTTAAATTTTATTTCCTAAATTTTGATTATTTATAAGTAAGTTCTATAATTGTAACTATTTAAAATATTAATTATTACTTTCTCTATTTTAAATTATAAGATAATTTGAGATAAAATTGTGCAAACTAATAAAACACAATAATGACACTTTATGAATTTACTTGTTCATAATAAAATTATAAAGTTCTAAAAATTCTCTTGCATACGCTAAGTCATTATTTTTACCGTTAAAAAATGTAAGGCATTTTTAGTCTTTTGAGGTGTAATCACTGTTTTTTTTTTAAGTGCCCATTTTAATAATAATTTATATTTATTATAAAGTATTTAATAGGGATAAATATAAAAAAATAAGGTTAGTTGAAAAGTAGGTAATTATTTTATTGAGGGATGAAATTCGATTAAAAATGTCTTATATTTTTAAACGGAGAGAATGTACTAAAACATTATTTTATTATTATTATTTTAATTCTTTCTCCACATGAAGAATAATATTGAAAAGATATAATTAATAAACATTATTTTTTTAAATTATCTTATCTTTTGTATTTAAGAATTATTTCAGAACTGTATTATAATTTAAGAGTAATATTTAAGAAATAACTTTGATTTTCATAATTTTATTTTATAAAATATAGAGACTAAAATTTTAAATAGTTAAAATTATAAGAACATTTCTACATTATTAATATTGATATAAGTTTTAGCATTGGATCAAATCAAAGTTCATGCAGTGACTTAAATAAAAAATATATAAAATTTTAAAACTTTCTTTGTTTTTCCCCCCCAGAATCTCCATCCCTTTTCAACCCTCATCATCACTTAAATAAAACATCACCCATTTTATATTTCGTAATTATATTATTGATGGCCAACATTAAAAACTTAAAATGCTAACCTTGTACTGGTTATAACAAGTGGTAGGCTGGAGGACTCACAATGTCTTACATTCTAACATTAAAAACCTTGTACTCGTAATTATATTTCGTAATAGAACTCGTTTATTTTGATAATTTCTGCTTCTGTAATTTTGTTTATTCTGGTTATCAATTTTTATAATTATTTTACTGACGCACATTTTATTTTATTCCGCTGTCGTCTCGTCCTTAAGTGCTGAACCACACGAAGCGAGAGAGCGTCTGTTCTAGGGGAGGACTCAGGCTCAGACTGCACAAGACCTGCATCTGAGAAGCCTTCAATATATTAAGAAACATCGAATGCGGCCTCTGATTTCATTTCAGACCCTTCCTTACTCTCATCACCTTCATTGCAGCATCTCACTTTCTTCCCTATCAACCCCTTCACCTTTACCTATGTTCATTTCTTTTTTGACTTACTCTCTCAACCTCGTCTTCTTCTCTCTCCCTGCTTAGATTAGTATCCCATACTAGCTTTCTGCCCTTGGGGTTTTTGATTTTAGCCTCTTGCTCTTCCATGGCTGTGTCTTCTATGGCTTCTCCTCTTTGCACTTGGCTGGTGGCTGCTTGCATGTCGCTCGACTGCGAGAGTGACCGTTCCAGAAGCCCATATCCGCTCCAGTGTTCGAGGAAAATGAGCAGCTGCGCTCGTCGGAGGAAACTCGTGTCTAAATATGCCAGTGGAAGGTCCGAATTCAACAGGGGCGCAATTTCGTCTTTTTATGGATCCAGCATTCAAGGTCTAATGAGCTCGTGTCTCGCCTTTGAACCCTGCGATGAGTACAACAGCTCCAAAAGTCTTTCTTCTTTGGGGTTCTTTGGTGACAATGGGTTCTCCTTACTGTTCGGATCGAAGACTTGTTATGTCAATCGCAGGCAGAGGCGTGTGAATCGAGCGGCCCAATCCGGTAATTTTGTTTATTTTACAATTTATTAGAACTTGAAGACCAAGAATAAAAAAAACTAAATCCTAAGCTCCTGCTGGTGATTACTCATACTGTACTTTGTACCCTTCATTGATTCTTTTTCTTTCTCCCTTCTTGGCTATGGATATCGGCACACCTCTGTATATGATGCATCCTGCTGGACTATTTTTTTTTAGCTTGCATCTTCTTCTTATTTGTTATGGTCACATTTTAGATGAATTTATATTGTTTATAGGGGCCACAAGTTCGCTTTACTGAGCGTGCTAAAACGATTTAGACTTCACAGCGGTTTACATGCAGTGTTACAGCCAGGCATTAAATCCATGGTAATGGAGAAATAAAAATTTGTTACCATGAAGGATGTCCATAATTTTAGAGCAAGTTACGTTGCATAGGAAAAAGATTTTGTGTGCTGTTTTCTTGGAAATAATATTTCTGCTCGTATTGTTCTAGAGTTGGAATATAGCTCCACTTAGTCGTCCATTTCTTTTTTATAATTTTATTAGAAGTACTACTTGCGCCTGCCATTTGGGCGGTATGTTAATACACTCGTGAAGGGAGGATAATTATTGCATATGGAGGACGCATGACGTATAAAAACATACCCAAAGTGCCAAACCTGTAAGGCAGAAAAGTGGTTTTGCCCTTAGTTCTTCAATATTGCGACTTCTTCATTGTCTGTGCTTATACCTCTTGCATATGTGTTGATGTTTCTATTGTATTGTCATTCCCGGGACGGTGATCTTTATTTTTACCATTCAAGATCAGTGGGTAGAAGTTCTTTACTTAAAACTAAGGTTATCTTACTTGGAAGGTTGTGTACTCTGCTCAACATTTATTTACACCTTTGCTTTAATTTCCCATCCATAGAAAAGAATACTTGTCAGGCTGTGCGATACAGAAGGAAGTTGATTGTTTAACTTGGTTTAGTTGCTAATCATTCATATTTCATCTTATATTTGCTAACATATGATTTGCAATTTAAATTTGTGGGGAAAGCAATGGCTGTAGCTGTGCAACCTGCCCAAGAGATTACAACAATGAAAAAACGTTCTATGAAGCAAAGACGAGTAGTCGTGACTGGAATGGGTGTGGTTACGCCACTTGGGCATGATCCTGAAACCTTTTATAATAATTTACTTGATGGTGTTAGTGGCATAAGTGACATTGAGACTTTTGACTGTGCTGAATATCCAACGGTATATTATATTTCTTTTAATTGTATTTTGAGTTGTTGCCTGCTGTTGCTTTTTTTTCCCTCATTGCTTACTATCTTCAGAGGATTGCTGGTGAGATAAAGTCTTTCTCAAGTGAAGGCTGGGTAGCACCTAAACTTTCAAAGAGGATGGATAAATTTATGCTTTATTTACTAACAGCTGGAAAAAAGGCCCTGGTTGATGGTGGGATTACTGACGATGTAATGGATGAGTTAAATAAAGAAAAATGTGGAGTTTTGATTGGCTCAGCTATGGGTGGCATGAAGGTAATCTTAACATTTATTCAATTTGAGACTGTACAATTGAAAGAGATTAAAAAGTGCTGTCATATCAAGCTCTTGATTTTCTTTTAAGGTGCATCATATCATGTGTAGGAAGACGGAATATCTGCTGATCTTTTCACTTGCTATTGTTGTTAAATGCAATCCAAGATGGAGCCATGCGTACTGTGCTAGTTCTTTGCATTGATTTATTCTTTTTGGAACAGGTCTTTAATGATGCTATTGAGGCTTTACGAGTCTCGTATAAGAAGATGAATCCTTTTTGTGTACCTTTTGCTACTACAAATATGGGTTCCGCCATGCTTGCGATGGATCTGGTCTGGTTAAATTAAATTTGGTGCGCATTATCTAGACACCATAAATGGGTGTCTTGGTTTTTGTCAAGTTTTTGTCATAACTCGTTTAATGATTCCAGGGATGGATGGGCCCCAATTATTCAATCTCTACAGCTTGTGCCACAAGCAACTTTTGCATATTGAATGCAGCAAACCATATTATTAGAGGGGAAGCTGTGAGTCTTTTGCTTCTTGTTCAATGGATTGTGCTATTTCTGGTTTCCCCCAACTTTTCTGTTTCTTTCTGACATAAGGAGTATTTAATACCCTAATGATATGGTTATTTTAGTGGAGGGCATCATATTTTCATTAAAAAATTTTGCTTAATCATGTAATTTATCTGCAGGACGTGATGCTTTGTGGTGGTTCTGATGCTGCTATTATACCTATTGGTATTTAAGTTTCTTTCTTGTGGCTCATTCCTTTTGCTTGTAGGAAATTATATTGGCATAACTCTGATAATTATCCAACAATAATTGGCCGGTTCAGGTTTGGGAGGCTTTGTGGCATGCAGAGCACTTTCACAGAGGAATAGTGATCCTGCCAAGGCTTCACGGCCTTGGGATACTGTAATACAAAGAAATCCACGATCTATTTATTTCTTGTTTATTTTCTCCACTCTCATTTCTGAGCTTTCATTAAATTACAGAGAACTATAAATAGAAACTCCCATGGATGATTGAATATATCTTCATATTCTGTAATAGTTAATGGATCTTACTTTCATAAGTCATTCTACTGACAGGAAGGCTTACAACTCAACTTTGACTGCTTATCCTGACTTTCCCCACCTCGAATATTAATCCGTCAGAAAACACCAAAAGTTGTCATTCAGATGCGAATAGGATGCAAAAGAAACCACCAAGATGTGAAAAATGTGATTAAGTCTGAAATGCTGGGCATTCATAATACCCACTTTTAGGAGTGAAGGGAAAGTGTAAAAAAGAAACTGTGAATGAATTTAACAGAACAAGAGTGATGAGAAATTTTTCTCTATCTTAAAAAATGAGCCAAGTTTACAGTATCAGTGACAATACGCTTCAGGTCGGAACAATTTTGACATTTTAATAGACTTATGCATGTTTTACTATTGAAAATGATTCAAAAAATTGTAGAAATTTTAGTTTCCCTATCATCCTCTTCCTTTCCTTGATGGTTTAACCTTGTCCAGCACTTGTTTTACATTCTAACCACCTGATTACCTTTGTCATTTCAGAATCGTGATGGATTTGTCATGGGGGAAGGTGCAGGTGTTTTGCTTTTAGAAGAACTGGAGCATGCCAAGGTACCTTTATTTGACTGCAATTGAGGATTCAACTCATCTTAAGGAGTTACGCATCATAATGAAGTATCTTACTCCAACATTTATTTTCGTAATCTATTGATTTTCTCTGATTAATCTGTTACAAGAGTACTAAAACACATTATAGGACCCTGGTTATCTTTTGTGTTACTTCTCATTGCCATTGCCTATGCCTGTTGTTTCTCATTCCGTCAGTATATTATTTTCAAATTCATAACGTTACAATACCAAAGAATAAGATCATTTTCGTAAATGAATCAAGCAATTGTATGTTGTCATCCAACTTCTGATATTGCAGAAAAGAGGTGCAAACATATATGCAGAGTTTCTTGGTGGAAGCTTCACATGTGACGCTTATCATGTGACTGAGCCTCGTCCCGATGGTAAAACATTGCTACTACTGCCTTATGAGATTATCTTTATTCCTATTACCAGGGCTTAAAAGGTCCTCTGGCTGGTTAGGACGTGATAAAAGGGTATTGTCAAAAGTTCTAGACCTGTAGGGAACCCTTTCTATTAAAACTTACAATGGCCACAAGATTTAATTATAATATTGATACCAACACTGAAAATTGCCTTCTTTCTTCAAATTATATTAATAATTGATTCTCTATTTCCTTAGTGGAGAAAGCATAAAGTGGAAGGAAAATTTTTAAAAAATCCTGACATAATTTTAAAGCATCAGAATGAAATGATAAAAAGAATTGTTCAGACTAGGCCAAAAAAAGCCTGAGCTTGACCATTTTTTATGTTTTTATTTTTAACAAGCTCATATTTTTGGGCATTTTTTTTATCCGGGCTTATATTTGTTTTTCTTGGCCCATCCTATCAAAGTTGGGGAGGCTTTCCAACCCAAGATTTCATTTCTTCTTCTTCTTCTTCTACTGCTACTATTATTTTACATGTATTAGAAAATTAGTCTTTGAAGTATGTGATTGAAGTTGATGAGATGGCTGATTGAAAATGGCACCTGCCATTAGATCACTTGAAGAATTTTGCCGAATTAAAACACTCAAAACGTAGTTTCTCTTATTTGATTTAATCTTGGTAAAAAGAAAAAGAGAAAAACTCATTCTCTCCCAACCCTAGTCTGGAAGGAACTTTAAATTTATTCAAGTTTTGCCAAAGGATTCTGGATTAGTGACTTATCTATGTTGATTGAATATCAGACACAAGTTCATGATTCTTCGTATTTGTTCATTATTGTTGATTCTGGCATTTTTTTTTTTTTTGGTCTTGAATTCCATACTATTCTTCTGGCCGAAGTGAACATCATGACTTTCAATGATGGGTCTTTATTTAACAATTTGGTTATCACCTCATCTATGGACCTTGACTTATTGCAAGAAAACTCACGCCAGCACCATTGCCTTTTTCCCCAAAATTTTTTTTGGAGCTAGCAGTGCAAGTTTCAAGAGTTCAAATCCTCTGCATTAAATAGTTTACAGCATATAGCGTTGTGAAAGAGAGAGAGAGAGGAAAAAAAATTAGAATGTGTGTATGTAGATTTAGATTCCCTTGCAGCCCTATTTCTTAGTGTCATTCCCTCACTTACAGCATCACAGCACCACTGTAGTGGATCTAAGCTTAATTTTCAGATGATATATAAATTACAGTTTTGCCTGTTGTGCCTTCATTTTTTTTTTTGGGGTGTTGTTTTATCTTATTGTTACTTTGTCTCTTCATATACTGTTTTTATGATGCACATTGACCGTCATGCATAAAATTCAACTGACACATCTTGAGATAAAAGTATGAATAGCTTCCATAATCCATGTCATCTAATCATCTTATGGCATAAATGGTCAATGATTGCATATCAGGGTAACAATCACAGAAAAGTAGAATTAATCTTCTATAATCTGGCACGTCCCTTATTAATGAAAATTTTTGTCATATTGCTATAGCCTTTGATTATTTATTGCATTATTAATAATTAATGGTGAGTGTTGATGGCTGATAATGAAGTATATGACAGCATGCTGTAACCACCTAAACCTGCAGATTATCTCTGACCTAAGCTTTCATGTCCTATTTTTCTATCTCAAACAGGAGTTGGCGTTATACTCTGCATTGAAAAGGCATTAGCTCAGTCTGGAGTATCTAAGGAGGATGTGAACTACATAAACGCACATGCCACATCCACGCCAGCTGGAGATCTTAAGGAGTACCAGGCTCTTGTTCATTGTTTTGGCCAAAATCCTGAGGTGAGTTTTCTTTCATGTTGCTATGACTCTTGTTCTATTGCTTACTAAATTCAAGTTGACTTTATCCTCTCTCTTTCTTTTTCGGTTGTTTTAATTAATGCTCCCAATTGCCATATTTTATAAATGCTAACGAAGATCCCTTTGTACAGCTCAAGGTGAATTCTACAAAATCTATGATCGGTCACTTACTAGGGGCAGCTGGAGGTGTGGAAGCTGTGGCAACAGTACAGGTTCCCAATGAAATACATCTTAATTAAATTTGTAATAAATATTTGTTACATCTGAAAAGTTTAGAACTTCGTTTTATTGCTTATGTAGGCCATACGAAGTGGGTGGGTTCATCCAAATATTAACCTTGATGACCCAGATGCAGGAGTGGTATGTTGCTTGTGCATCATTCTCGTTTTGTCTGAGAGCATATGTTCTATTATTGCTTATAGGAGACAAAATTATCTAATTTGATTATTTGGAAACAAATCAGGACCCGAGAGTTCTTGTGGGCCCAAAGAAAGAGAGATTGGATGTCAAGGCTGCCTTGTCCAATTCATTTGGTTTTGGAGGCCACAACTCTTCGATCATATTTGCCCCCTATAAGTGAAAACACTTATCATGGCCTCCCGTCCTGTAATTAGGAAAAAGGTATGACAATTTCTTGTTCTCTTGTTAATAAAATTTTTACACGCCCTGAGGGCTAGTAGAATACCATGGTGAATTCGTAAGTGCACCGACTGATATCAGCTATTGCATTGATGGAAGGATTATTAACTTCTGGATCTTGGTTTTTTCGTACATTCAATCCAAAAGGTTATAACTATGCCTATAAAGCAATCTGGTGGATGGAAAATTCATCTAATTAAATAATGGGTAGTAATATGCCAAAATCAAGGCATGGGTTCTGAGCATTTTAGCCTCAGAATTTCAACTGAGAAAGTTACATTAATTTCGTTCATTTTTGGCAATGCTTTTGTGTTGCAGATGTTGAGTAGCCGGACGTTCCTAGTCTGCTCCTTGGTCAGGTGAAATGTATGTCGTGTGGATTGCATTATTTGAGGGGACGGTGCCTAGGTAGTAGAATCTGAACGTCCAAAGACTTGTTGGGTGAGATGGAGTAGAGTCTATCCACAACTGGAACCCTATCCACCATGAATGGCTAGTGTAGGAGATGACCCACTTTGATGTAACTCTTAAACAACCTCATTTGGTGGGGGTATGAACTTATGTTTTATTCACCTTGTACAACTAGATATGAACACAGCCAATTCGTAATTTTTTTTTTTTTTGAGATGCCTCCTAAATTAGGTTACACATTTCACTAAGGTGATTTCCAATTTTATGAGGATATTATCTTGGCTGTACTTTTTAGCCATAACCCCAAAAAAAAAAATCTAATAATGAAAGGCGAAAAAAATCCCTCGTGTTTTCAATCTTTCACAGTGGGTGCTATTATTCAGAATTTCAATTTTCTTGTATCCAAAAAGAAAGAAAAAAGAATTTCAATTTTTCTTAGAGCTGATTGGGGATGACTTTGGTTCGTCAAAGGCATGTTCGGATAGGAGATTGTGAAAAGAGGGCAACATTGAAAAAAAAAAATTGTATTAACTGCTGTTTAATAAGTGATGTTTTGTACTTTGGAACATGTGAAGTAGTATATAATTTTTGTTTTTTTGAATGTGAAGAGAATAATTATAATACGAGGAAAGATTACATACAAGATTTATTATTTTTTTCATTTCTATTAATTTTTTTCCTTTTATTTTCTTCACTTCAGAGATTAAAAATCTAAATCTTTCATGCTAACTAGGTGGCGGCGGCCGGTTGGCCATGTGCGCATGTGGAATTTGTATGGGCATCAAGAAATTGAGTGTCATGTCAAAAGGGCAAAAAAAAAAAAAACACGTGGCATGTCACAATCCACATTAGGCATTCCCACCTATACAGTATACACACATATTACGTTGCCGACTTCTATTCCGAGGTGTGACAAGTATCAAGATATGGAATCGAAAAGTACAAGATTTTGCAATTTGGAGAATAGATCCACGCTAGCTTCTACATCACACCAAACCTCTTGTTAGAGAGGAATGCTGGAGTACCTTCACTAACCTGGCAGGTGCGGATTGGGTGAAGTGGAATCTTTACTCGTGAAGGGGGCCAAAATTTCACCAGCAAGGTGACTTGGGCAACTCTCTTTGGCTATCTATTTTGGGATATCTGGGTTGATATGTAGGTGAAGTGTTTTGATAAGAAACCTATTCATGTTCATAAAACTGCTCTCTCCAGTTTCTTTAGAGCTTGCTGAGATACTAGTCTCCTAAGATCATCCCCCTCCTTGTCCTACGAGAGCAAACAGTCGAGGAATAATAATACATCTAGGATTGATTTTGTTAAACTCGAAATTGATGGGTCGATCTTACCTGGTGGGAATAGTGGTTGCAGTGGATCTATTTGGGATAGAGAGGGTAATTGGATTATTGGATTCAACTCTAAGGTGATCAACGTCCCAACTGTAATTGCATAATTACTTGCTGTTATACATGGCCTAAATCTCTATCGGGCTTAAAGGCTTTTGTAGGATGGATATTTTTTGTGATGCACTGAGGCTATAAATCAACTAACCATGATGACTCTCATCCTTTTAAGGATTTAATCGGCCACGTGAGACTTTTATACTATAGAAATTGGAGTCTTGTTACCCATCACTTTGATAGATATTTTAATTTGTATGCTGATTATTTAGTTAAATTGTCCCGTTCTTTTGGGTGTTAATTTTTGTATTTTTAATCAACTCCCATTTTTTTTTTTCAAGAAGTAGTGGATGATGAAAATGTTAGGATTGGAGACTTGATCTTGATGTAACCGTCTTTATTTTATGAATGCACTATTTAGTCAAAAAAGAGTGAGCAAGCATGTTTTGTTTCCTGTTAAAGATTATTAAAATTATGATTATGAATTTATGATACCAGTAAATAGCTAGAAATTTTAAACAAAAAATCATAATTTTAGGTGGATTTGGTTAAAATACATGTCCTTGATTAGAAGTCAATTCTGGATTTGGAAATAAAACAGGTAAGTATAAATTTGGTTGTAGAATCTTTTAAAACGAAGATTGAATTTTTAATAATCAAAGTCAAAAAAGGAGATTGAGTTTTGTGAGGTTTTAGATAGGACTGTGAGGATATAGTTTATCCACCATAATAACCTGCCTATACCCACCTAATCTCATGCTAGAACGAAACCCTCCATTACAGTTAGTAATTGTTGCTAAGTTCAATTGATATTCAGTTTGGCCCAGATATGCATGAAAAAATTTGGCCCAAACTGAATTGGGTTCAAGTTGACACGAATCTTTGAATAAAAAAAATATTTTTTTAAAAAAATATAAAATGTATTAAACATTAATTAATTCTTTAAGTTTTAGATTATTTTATATTTAAAATATCATATATTTGAGTGCATTATTATAGATATTTTTAAAAAATAATAAATATTTATATTGTCATTTTTTATTATGTTTAATCTATAAAATATCTTATAATAATATTTTAATATTTATTTTTAAATTTTAATACCCACAATTTTTAAAAAAGAGTTTGAATATTTTACATCATTTAAGTGTCCCAAAAAATATAATTTATATTTCATACAAAATAAAAATAATTAATTTTAAAGTAATAATACATAAATTTATTTTAAAAAAATTAATAATTTGAGTATTTGGATTAGTTCAAGCTGTATTTGATTATTTAGACTTTTAACAAATTTAAGCTTATTTAAGCTAGCCTAAATTAAACTTGACTTGCCTGAATTACTAACTCTATCCTTCATCACTAAACGAAGTTGATATTGCCAACATTTCCACAACTTTAATGAAATCTATCACATTTTAACAATGCCTACCTAAATTGTGCAATGCAACAGTAAATAAATTTTTCTTATAATTTACCCACAATTCAAATAACATTGATGGAAAAATAATAACACCATAAAATTACAAGGTAGACATGCTGTTAGCGGGGATGGCCTTATGAAGATCAATAAAAGCAGAGATGAAGAAAAAAATTTTGGGATAGCCCTTTGAAGATCAATAAAAGTAGAGATGAAGAAGAAAGTTGTGAAAATCATCTTAAAAGTGTGGATAGCACTTTTTCTTATGCTTAATTCACTCCCACCTATTCCAATTTTTGAAGGTAAGTTGGGTTGATGGTAAATTTCCTTCAAAATATAATCATATAATGAAGACTCTTGAATATGGTCTGACTACTAAGACTCAAGCCAAAACAACAATGATTTTTATGAAATGATAATTTAAATTTATCTCCAATACACTTAAAGAATAAAGGCAATAAATTTTAATAGATGGATATTAATATTGAATATCTTCCAAATGAGTGATGATGAGAGGTATTTATAGAAGTTGAAATAATGCTGTGAAGTGATACGTAATAAAATCCTCATTAAAAGTTATAACCAATGTTGCTTTATAACTCTTGTATTGTTTATGAACAATTTTATGTTAATTTATGAGCATCCATATGTTGGTTATTAAACATACATTGTTTAATAATTAATATTAACCAAGGGTTACTTATAATAATTTTTATGAAAAGAAACATCATTTTAATGTATAAAGTTTTCTTGAAATATATTTTTTTTTCATCAAGTGACACATTTTGGCTTTATAACCTTCCAAATGTGTCTTCAAAATTTAAAGAAATATAACATATATAGCTATAACTCTATATATAATCATTTATAATTTTTTTTAATTTATAATGACAAAACTCCTTAATTTATAAGAACATGATTTTTTAAAAAAACATATCTTCATTTTGAAAATATTTTAACATAGGCTTTCTTGTTTTTTATAGTTCCCATGTAAATATGTTTTGATTAATGATAGTCATGTATCTTCATTAAAAAAAAAAAAGGATTATCATAAAACTAAGACCAGCGTTGTGTTCAAGTTAGCATTCAAACATAAATAATACAATCATCAGTCATTCGGCATTGCTCTTTATACCATACTTGGCGAAAACCATATTTGGTGTGTGTGTTGTGGTTTTTTTTTTTTTTTGAACTTAGACTCCTCCTAGAATTATATTCTGAATAGGGGCGATCACAGTATGAGATAAAATTAGAACACTCCTGTTCAGTCCCAAAAAATTATGGAGACTAAATTTTTATCTTGTGTCCCTTCTCATTTTGAAAGTCGTTCCATTTTATTAGGAATCGAGACATCTCGCTGTCTCAATAAAGCTGATAATGTGGGAGAAAAATTTAAATAATAACATTCATTAATTAAAATCTTGAATCACATAATTTATTAAGTTTAAAACAAAACAACATGAGTATATAAATCAAACAATTATTGAATTATATCAATCACAATTATAAATGTACAACTTAAAATCAAGTATACATGAGACACAACCCATTATAATAGTAATTACAAGTGATTTTTAGACTATAAGAATAATAATAACATACAAGCCTAACACAACATTAAGTTATAATTCTTTTTCTTTAGTTAAAATATGTTAAGCTAGTGACTCTTTCTAAAATAAAGTAAGAAATACGATATAAATAAAAGTTATTAAATAGGTAAATATAAGAATAAATTATATTAATATAATTAATATATTGTAAAGAAAGATATTAACATGTATTGTTTACTTTATATCATTAAAATTATCAATATAAAAAACTTTTAGTTTTAAATAAGAACAGCAAGTATTGAAATTATAATTAATATAAGTATAAATTATATTTAATATAATTAATATATTTAATATATATTTTTAAAATAAAAAATTATATATATATAACATTCGGGACAAGACAGGACATCCCGAGAGCAATCTCGTGTCTTCTCCCATTTTGAACCTCTTTCTCATCCCATCCCATAAAATTTTATCTCGATTATTTTGAGGTCAAGATGAGGTCTATCCCAATATGATCAGAATGAAATTGGATCAATCAGGACAAGTACAAATTGAACACTCTTAATTTTGAATTTCATCGTGCATTCATAGAATATTTTTCACTTTACTCCTACACAGATTAAATTCTCATCAACAACACGGTAATGTTTATATATTTACCAATAACATATAACTTTAGGAACTAAATTATAAAATACTTGATTTGTAAGCAGAATAAAGTTTTGCACAAGTTTTATACTGGAGTATTTATTCGGTTATACAACTCATCAACTCAGCCATATGATAAGTTCTAATTGGGGGAAAAAAACCATCGAAGTAAAATGAATAGTCCACAAAATGCAAATGGATAAATTCTTGGGAGTAGAATGACAAAAAAAAAAAAATCACGTGATCATAACACAGACCAACGAATTTTTTGTTGGCCCTAATGGTTTGGCCCAGCCCAATTAAGCGTTGGAGACTAAGCTGGGCTTTTCCTCATCCTCAGCTCACTCGTTTTTGGTAGCATGAAATTCGGAGTCACAGGAAGATTGGCAATTTGGCACCAAGTAAATGGATTGGACAAAGGCAAACCACGCATGACCAATAGTCATTGGGCCAAATAAAGGACTCTAACCTATACAACGATGATCGCATTTCAGCTGAAATTGTGCTGTAAATGCTAAATATTGTCATTTGCTCATTTGCATCATTCTAATCTCATGTAGGTGTATTATCTTGTTTTCATTAATGCATTTTATTATGATTTCTATTCTCTTTTCTACTACTAAGGTATCGTGCATCCATTTATGTGTTTGTTGTTCGGGTATAATTATTGGTCTAATGAATATGTCGCGGTCGATCGACATTAAATTATGAATATGACACTCGAAGAAAACAAAATATGATAACTACGTATGTTAACTTTAATTTGATTTTTTTTCCCTAATACTTGTAGTCTTGTAGCATATAGTGATCAGGACCACTTTCTTTTCCCGGTATGCATAGTCGAAACACACAGACTCTCTCCGTCTCTTTCAGTGCTTTCCAATGTCGGTTATACGAGTGAGGCGACCAAACAATATATCATATTTTATTTTTGTTGCTAAAGAAACATAAAACAAAATTAAAATATGAAGTAAAAAAAAAAAATACAAACAGCAAGACGAACACACATTTTTTTATATAATTAATTGTCTGCGATTCAATATCTCGTATTTAAGCGGTTATATTTATGCTACCTTTACAAGTTTAGAACTAATGTTTGTTGGGGCCGAACACATGTTAGTTGAAATAAATATGACTAAATAAGGTAGACAAGTTGAACGAAGATATAAAATGTACGTGATGTCCAATAACGTAAGTGTGGTGGATCCTATGCATGAACTAGAAGTGTATGATTGATCTATTGATTCAAGCGTGGCCACAGATCCAAGTTTTTTTGAGACCATGATGTCACTAGTCTCTCCCATGGGCCACAACTTAATAATTCACTGCCTGTACGCAGCTTTCACTTTTCAACCAAGTGGATTTAAATTTGGTGATGATATTTAATATATATATATATATATATTGAATGTTTGTATCATTTTAATTATTAAAATTTAAATTAATAATTATAAATTTATATTTTATTTAAGATTAATAAATGAGTAAATTTATTTAAATTATTAATTTATATTTTAATAATTTAAATACAGATATTCAGTACCTATATTACAGTTATTGAATTTAAATCCCCGTGCACTTTTCTCCAGCATCTGTGCAAAGTAGTTAAAGGGAGCTTTCAATTATGAACGCCTTTTACACGTACTAACCAGCCTCCATTTATTTATTTTTATACGTATACATCCAAATTAAACTGGATTTATGAACAAAATCACTTATTACAAGCAGATAGATTATATGCATATTTCTCACTTAACAATAATTTCACGTTGAAAGATGCAGATTATCAGCGGACGCATGTAGATCGATCGAGATTCGAGAGTAGCTATCTATACGTGATTGAGACATAAATAGAACATAGCAATTGTACATTATTTCCATATCATAACTAGCAGCAGCAGCAACGATTAAATTATATTATATATATATATATAGGATGATATCATCAGATAAGCAAGAGGTAAAAAAATGGCATCATCACTCAGGAAGAGTTAAACGGAGGGTTCGGACTTATCCATTCGACGGCCGTCACAGAGGCGGTTGATCATATAGAGGGCGTTGCTGGTGACCCTGGACACTCGGTTGATCTTGCGCTTTATCTTGCCGACGACGCGGTCGTGGACGGGTCCCAACCCGTCGAGGCAGGTGTCGTCGTCGGTCATGGCGGCGCTCACCCAGGTCTGGGCGTTGCTCATCTGCAGGCGAAATGTGGACTCGCGGAGGTGCTTGAGCTCGTGGAGGCTCCTGCTGAGCTGGTCGACGGAGTCAGACATCTGCTCGGCGCAGTCACGGAGAGCGGATTGGCGGCGGCGGGAACGCTTGGACAGGGAGGAGGTGTGGGAGTGAAGGAAGCGGGAGAGATGGCGAGCGTGATCGAGGCTGACGGAGAGGGCGGCCTGGGCGAGGCCCTTGGGGGTGATGGCGGGGTGGGCGTATGCTGAGAGAGTGCGGAGGCAGAGATGTGGGTACCTGGCGTGGACGCATGAGGAGCGGAGGAGATCGGAGGAGGGCGGCGGAGGGGATGTGGCTGCGGCTGCGGAGAGGAGGAGGAGGAGGAGGGGGAGGGAAAGAGGGAAATGCATAGTGGAAGTGGAGTGTGGGAGAGTGGAGTGAGGGGTTAAGGAGATTGTTAGGTTAGGGGGTAATGGGACAGTTCGCAGGTGTTAGCATTCAATTCGGAAGGAGTGTGCCTTTCGTGTCCACGTAGCCCACTCCTTTTCATTCATTCATTTCACCACTTTCAACCTTGTCGTCTTTCTCCCAAACCCGACCCAAAAAAAAGGGAGGACGTGCCACTGTAATTGATCCCTCAAGCCTGATGTTTCTCATCCCTCTCTTGTCAATATGAGTCTAAGTTAATTAACGACTTCACGTTCCACTACATTATTCTATTTTTCAATCTTAGACCATCATTATGGACCGATTGGAGTGGATGTGTGTTATGAGTCCCGCATTAATTGAGAAGTTTCACGGTGAACATTGATTTATAAGTTATGAATTTTCTTTCTTTGTTTTTTGTTGAAATATAAGGTTACGGAATTTCTATGCAAGGGAGATATGAAAAATAAGGCCATGCGAAAATTCATGATGAATCTACTCTTGAAGCAAAATGATTAAAAATAATATCTAAGTTATATTGTTTTGGGAGGCCTAGTAATCAGTGATGAGTAAGCAGGTGAGCTTATCAACTAAGTGTTTAAGAAAATGTTATGGGAATGGACTTTATTTTTAAACTGGGGATTACGACAATGTTGGATCCAGCCGTGCATGTTTCGTTGGAAGGCACTGTGTGACGGACAAGGCACGTGATAGAATGCGCACGATTCTGTCCCGGCTATGATGGTACTTGTTCCTCACTCTGCAAAAGTTGTTGGCGTTCTAATCCTTCTCATGTTTCAATTATATTTGATAGCATTTATATTTTAAGAATTCTGTGGTTATAAATCAACACACAGTCAAGTTCTTAATCAGTCTATTTAAATTAAACAGTGAATCTTGAAATGCAATATCTGTACTTGAGAGTTGAGAGCACCAAAACGCGCGAGACTATGAATGAGTAAGTAAATTATGGATAGAAACAAGAGGAATGATGTTGAAGTAGGGATGAGACTGTTTGCAGTGGGGCCTTGCTTCCGAAGGCAGGTTATTAAAGTTTAGAGTTGAAGTATGGGATGGAAATAAAAGCATGCATGGTAGAATAGAATTTCAGTTGGAGCCTTAGAAGTAAAATATATACATGAAAGACTTAAAGGATTCTGAAATTCCAGATTCAAACTTCAAAAGCCTTTCATGTAATTAAATTATCTGCTGAAGTAACGCAAGTGTCTCTATTTCTTCTTCTTCTTCTTCTTTTTAAATTTAAAAAAGTGTCAACATCACCCATCAGAGCTAGGAAAATGTTTAAAATATAAACTTATAATATATTTTTTATTTAACATAATATTAATAATCTATTAATGTTGAAGAAGCAAGTTATTTTAAAAAAAAAAGAAGAGATAACTTTTTTATGCAAGAACAAGTCATCTTTACACATCTACAAGTAATTATTTAGATATAAACAATAATACATTCATGATTAATACTAACTTATATAAAGGCTTGAAAATAGAAGCTATAACACATAATATTTTGTATTGCATTATTAAACAACTTTGATAGTTTAGTGGCAAATCCCTTTTTTGAAATATCAAGAGGTCTAAACCTCAAATCCTCTCTTAATTCCTTGGATAGGATTGGATGTGGTAGGTGATAGTGACACTTTTTGTTTGAAAAAAAGAAAGAAAGGAACAAACAAACAAGGACATTCACATAATTTCTGTGAATAAGTATGTATTTAGTTTTTAATTTATTAAAAGTTAATTTGATGAAAATTTATTTAATAAAAGTCAATTTAAAAAAAGTCAGTTGTTATAATGAAATTCGTGTTTAAATATATTTTATTAAAAGTAAGTTTGGCAAACTAAAAGTTGTTTGGATTAATAAAAATTTGGGCTTTTAAAATGTACTTTTGAATATAAAATGACTAAAAAAGATATTAATTTATGATAATTAATAATTTTTATTGTACAATGTAATATATTAAAAATGTTAAAATATGCAAGGATAAAAATTATAAAAATTAATATTGGAATAAATTATGTAATTATTTACTATTTATGTATTTTATTTATTTTACTATTTATTATTTACTATTTATGCATTTTATTTATTTATTTATTGATTTTCAATCTATGAAACCTTTTCATTTTGATTTGTTCCCCAGTGTTTTTTTTCAAACCTTCCGTCAAAGATTAATATTTTGGATGTGTAGGTGAAAAAGTCAAACCTTTGAAAAAACCCAAGTCTGATAAAAAATTAGGAGCTCAAGTGAAGATGGAAATGAATTAATGAAGACAGAGGCGGTTGCACGACAAAAATGAAAAAAATATTTGAAGGTATTATAATCAAATGTAAAATTAGGTATCAGTTTTTAATGCTTCATATCCACGTTTCCGTTTTAAAAGCTACTCAGTGCAACTTTCAAAATTTCATATTTCAGCTGGGTTGAAAAATCATTTTAAAAAGTACATTTACTTTCATAAAATTATTTCAAACAATATTTTACATTCCAAAAATAAAAAGTTATTTTTAAAATGTAAAACGATAATTATCCAAATGGTGCTTAAGTTAATTTACATGAAATATATTTGGCCCTGCCGAGGAATTTCATGTTTCTTTGCGCCTTTCATGGAGACGTATTGGTTTTTAGGGTCGTAACTGAAATTCTCCCTAAAGGCATGGTCATGAATGGATGGTGCTGGACGGGACTGGGCGACATGAAGATTGACAGAGGAATGATGCTAGTAAGTAAGTGAGAACGAGAGGTAAAAGTGAGCATGGTCAAAGGGAGCCTGTCATGAATGAATTACTATATTTAGAGGACATAGCATCTGGCATGCACCGTGTTGTACAGTAGAAAAAGCAAGAAAGCTAATCCTAACGGGGGCAATAAGTTGGGGGCCCAGTGGCCACGTGAATGCCCGAAGGCTCTGTACCCATCGGCAAAAACAAAAACGCAAAACAAAACAGAAAAAAAAAAAAAGTATTACGAGTAAACAAGGAAGGTGGGTTGGGGTGGGGTCGAGGAATCAGAGTAGAGGTAATAAATGATGATAATGGATTGGTTCAGTTCCTGTGGATGGGAAGGTTTCATCTGGTAGAGCCATCCCTTAATCTCCGGAATTCCTTATCTTCCCTGTCTCCCATCGTCCATCCAATGCATCCTTCTTCTTCTTCTTTTATTTTGGGGCTTGTTCTCCTCCAACGACCTCCAAGGCTCCAATCACTTTGCCTTTGGGCTTTTTCTGTTACTGGGCTCTTTTTCCTGCTACTTTAAGCCCTCCCATTTTTCCCAGCCATCCAATTAACTCCGTTTCCTAGCCCAGCAGAAACCCAATACCAGGCCCGATCCCCCCCAAAAAAATGAAAACTACACTTCCGGCCGAAACTAGATGAGGTAAGATGGTTTGCAAAAACAGTGCTTATCAGTGAGCAATTTGACAAACTCCCTTCAGAAACTAGAAGTGGAGGTGGGTGTAAGCTCAGCCTTCCAAGAGGGGGAAAATAGAACACGTGAAATTAGCCCGCTGCTCCATTTGATGGAGAGGGAGGACGCCAAACAAATAGATGATGTGCCTGTTGGCTTTCTTCCATTTTCTTATCATTCTTATCTCACTGAATAAACAATATTTTTATCCATCAGATTTGTTAGGAATTGAAGGTGACCACCTTGAAATAAGAGAGAAGAGAACAAACTAAATGTGCAAAAATTGTAGAAAGACATATACCACGTACATCTCAATTCAAAATTTCAAATCTATTTTAAACTTGGATAACCTAAACTTTTTGTAATTGTAATTCAAAACCCGTTGCAACTTGTCTGCATTCCATGCTTGAAACAGATGGCCAGACGGGGTTACCCTTCCCACTCTAATATTTTTATATTAAGAGAGACTGGGTTATTTTTACTTGCAGATACAATATAATATGTTTACTGATCCCTTCCATGTGCCCGGGAGGATAATATATAATGAGCCATGCTTACATATACTCAACATTTTTTTTGTGGGCATCCAAAAAAAGTCATTTTAGTTTTAATTTTAAATGTCCACATTCACACCTCATCAGCCATTGCCACAAGGACGCGTCTCACCAACCAAGGAGGGACCAGAAATTTTAGTATGTAAGGACAATGAGCGTGTACATGTAATTTTATGGGGGCATTACAACTAATATTATTTAGGCGAAATTTAGTATTATAAAAAAGTCTCAGTTTAGTTAATTAATTTTATAAAGCATAATTTCAGTCCTTTAACCTAATATTGTTGGTTTTATCATAAAAAAAATTTACATTGAACTTTTAAATATTAACAAAATATTATCAAATATTGATATATTAAATTTAGTTTTTTTTTTAAAAATAATGATGACTGATATAAGAAAAGATCATTTGAAACCAACGACATTAAGATTAAAAAAAATTAAAAAGACACTTCATAAATTTAAAAAATTAAATTAAAATCTTATATAAATTTAGAAGGTTATAAATATATTTTAATCTATTATTAAGTATTTAGAATCATTTATATACATTACATCACTGTCTCCAACCAAGGCATATTCTATGGTTCCGCGTATATGTATATCTATTAATCTATTAACTAACATATACCAGCTGCATTTGCTGAAAGTGTGTGCGTTGAGACTTGAAAGTATAAAAATTGCCTAAGACAGCTACCTTCTTGTGCTCGCCTGGCTCGCCATTGCCAAACCCCAGAAATATTTGACAAGTTTGAACGGCAGCTAACATGATCTTTTATAATATTCCCTTCGCCTTAACAATCTTACTTTTTAAAATAAAAATATAAACTTTAAAAAATATTCTTCATTTAATAACTTCAAAACTACACTTAATTAGCATTAAATTAAGAGAGAAAGAATAATATTAAAATAAGCTTAATTAATAAAATCTTGATTTTTTTAAAACGTCTTATATTTTAGGACAATAAATCTTCTCTAAAAGTATTATATAATTTGGCATCATAGGAATAGTAATTTCTTCTTGAATATTCTATCCAACCCGTTCTGACTTCTATGAGCCCTCATTAAT